GCAGGCTTTTAATCCTGTTTATTTTATAGAATCATAGAACAATTAAAAAGGACCTTAAGATCATCCCGTTCCAACCCCCATGCAATGGGCAGGGAATCCTCACCCTACACTATGTTGCCTAAGGCTCTGTCCAGCCTGGCCTTGAATGCTGCCAGGGATGGAGCATTTACCATTTCTTTTGGCAACCTGAGCCAGCGCCTCACCACACTCACAGGGAAGAACTTCTGCCTTAGATCTAACCTGAACTTCCCCTGTTTCAGTTTGAACCCATCACCCCTTGTCCTAACACTCCAGTCCCTGATGAAGAGTCCCTCTTCAGCATCGTTGTAGCCCCCTTCAGACACTGGAAGCTGCTCTGAGGTCTCCACACAGCTTCTCCAGGGTGAACAGCCCCAGTGTTCTCAGCCTGGCTCCATATGGAAGCTGCTCCAGCCCCTGATCATCCTCGTGGCCTCCTCGTGACTTGCTCCAACAAGTAGTTTGCAAGTTTCCCTTGGTTCCTGACAAGGTTTTCCCTATCTGTGTCAGGTATTTTGTATGCCCCTATTTTTCTTCACTCATTTCTGCCACTTTTTCCTTTCTTACCAGGGAGGGGCAGCTTACAAAACTGCCTGAAACCAAGAAGACACTTCTGTTTACATTTAATGGTAAGAGAACTGGTGTACAAGTGGGTATGTGTACCTGGGGGGTGCTGTGCTTTATCTGTGCAAGACATATGCTCGCTTCTGGCATCTGTGGAAGACAACATATGACCTGTGACTTCAGTGCATGTAACGGGTCATTGACTGATTAACCAGTAAACAGAAGGCAGTGATAACACTAGGGAGTGAGCAGCACCTGAATCTTGCTATTATTGATCTTAGAATCAACCACATTGGAAAAGACCTTTAAGGTCATCAAGTCCAGCCTTTCCCCAGTCCTGCCAAGGCCACCACTAACCCGTGGCACTGAAGGCCTCATCACCAGGGATGGTGACTCCAGCACTGCCCTGGGCAGCCTCAGCACCCTTTGGGGAAGAAATTGTTCCTAATACCCTGGTGGTTGCATCAGGTCATCATTACTCTTAAGCCATGGGCCTTGCAGTTTGAACTTGCACAGAGCTACTTGATTGCCCCTAGTTTGAAATAAAACCAGCCTCGTGGGAGTCTGTTCTCAAAGGCAAAGCTCATGTCAGAGCCTGAATTCAATCCTTATTTTGTATTCTGTGCTAATAAAACTAAGGAGGATTGTGTGGGGTAAAATGTGCCTGTCACTGTGTGAGGAATCTAAGTTTGATCTCTGAAAATAAACTCTTTTAGTTATTTCAGAGAATCATTTAGGTTGGAAGAGACCTTTATGATGGAGTCCAACCATTATCCCAGTCACTATGCCCCAAGCCTGTAGTATTACATGGAGTTGTTGTGACCTAAGTGCAGGACCCAGCACTGAGCCTTGTTACCCTTCCTAAAGTGTAGTGGAAGCACATCTTTTGTGAATGGTGTGAGCAATAAGGAAAGGGCATTATAACAAGTAGAAAGATCCTTTCAATCTCTCTGAATTAACAAGAAACGCTTTTATTTCAGTGCCTGGTTCAGGCAACACTTCCCCAAAGGACATGGAGTCTTTGCTGCCCCTGATGAGCATGGTTATCTACTGTATTGACAAAGCGAAGAAGTTCCGTCTGAACAGAGAGGTAAGTGGTATCTATTTTCCTGTCTTCTGAATATTGTATGAAATTGCCACTATTACCATTGGATCCCAAATCTTAATATGTGGAGCTTTCTATCTCTAATGTGACTACCAGAGAGATTGCATACTGCTCATGGGGAAATCCATATGAACTGCATTTCCTTCTCTCTGTCAAAAGGGTAAACAAAAAGCTGACAAGAACAGGGCTCGTGTGGAAGAGAACTTCCTTAAGCTGACTCACGTGCAAAGGCAGGAGGCTGCTCAGTCCCGTCGAGAGGAGAAGAAACGGGCAGAGAAGGAGAGAATCATGAACGAAGAGGATCCTGAAAAGCAGCGGAGGCTGGAGGTGAGGTGGATTTTCAGGTTGTTACATCGGCCTGTAGCTTGTATCCTGGGCTGCCTGTAGGTACAGCAGCAACACCCACCTCTGATCCTGTAGGATCTTTGTGGGAAGGCAGAGAGCTTCCAGGGTATGTGCTGGTGCTTTCCTGAAACATGTGAAGGCTCCTGGTGAGGAGCCAGCTCACGTGGTTAGAGATGTGAACGCATGTGCTGGTCAGCTCTCCTTAAGTGATCAGCCTGCTCTTGGATTGCTGCTGTTCATTCACATCTCTTTGTCCTCACCTGCAGGAAGCAGCTTTGCGGCGTGAGCAGAAGAAGCTTGAGAAGAAGCAGATGAAGATGAAGCAGATCAAAGTGAAAGCAATGTGACTCCATGGGGAGCAATGTCTCAGTGCCACCTGCAGAATTGGAATCTACAGGGTACAAAGATGTACTTAACTCCATAATCCTACACTTTGAACACTAATAGCCATTAAGAGAAATGTTCCTTGGCATTGGTGTTACTTATTTAAGTATTCCAGCAACATGCAGGTGTATGTAGAGATCTTTGTCTCGGCAGTTTTACTCCAGGTGGTACATTTGCTACTTGTCTAAGAAAAAAAATTGCAATAGTCTTGAATGCTCTTTGTCATTTGTTCTTTAAAACCAGAAGGCTGTAAAGTCCTCTGGTTTTACCTGTCCACATGTGCTGGTAACATACTCATGCTTTGGTTTTAAACTTTGGGTTTAGTTCTTGGGAGGGAAGGGGGGGAACTTTAGGGGAGGAAAACTGCACAAGAAACTGTGCATTTATTTGCATCAAGCTTGTAAAGGCACAAAACTTAGAGCCTTCCATACACAGTATGGATTCTTCAGGGATTTCAGCCCAGTAGAATAGAAGTGCTTTTTGTTTTCTCTGTTTTTTACAACCAAGGGACTGAAACAGTATTAGGTCACCTGTGGGCATGATGTGTAAACCAGATGGGTTAGAGAGGAGGGAATGGGCTATGTGAACAGTTTCCTACTTGTGGTTTTGAAGGCCACAAGTACAATGTGAAGTGTGTAATGTCAACGTGGTGTTTCTTCAGGAGCATGTGGTGAGTTAGCAGCTTCAACAAGCTTTCCTTGAGCATTTTCAACTATACAAGTTTGCCTCAGACCCGCCTGATTTCAGCAGCTGCTGCCTAGTTCCCTTCTGCCAGAGCTAGATTCAGTGAATAACTGCAACTGCCAATTTCCCCAAGCAAGTAAAAACGTTTTGGGGGTACGTGAATCCGCTTCAATGATCACTTCAGGTTTTGAAGCTAAATGGGGAGCATGAAGTGAATGCCCCAGTGCAAGCACTTTGCTGAGAGAGCCCTGCATTTTATAAATGCTTCCTGTCTAGAAGGCGTTTTATTGTTGCTTGTAACAGACTTTACACAGTTTTGTGGGGAAAACAGGATCTTGCATTTTCTTGTTGAATACTGTGTGCAAACTTGGTTCAGAGGCAATAAGAATGAGCTGCTGTTGAAACAGCAACTGCTTAAATTTCGTCCAGCATGGGCTACTTCACACTGAATTAAATGCAAATGTCTGTAACCTGATACATGCAAATACATTAATTTTATAATGGTTGGTAAAATTATTTAAAACCAAAACTAATGTAGATGATGTGAAATTTTAGCACTATTTAGCTTTAAAGATGACTACAGCATTGTTCCACAACGGTCTTGGAAAGGTAATGCTGGTTTGTGCTCTTTAAGTGGACAGCTTTCCTGAAGTCCCATATGTCTGTGGGCTGTGGCAGCTAATTTTGTACTATGAACATTGAAACGAACAATCTAATGAAGAGTAAAAAGAGAACTGAAACACTCCCCCTGCCTGCTCTGCTCTGCTTGGCTGGACTCTGTGTTCCTTCCATCCCATAGGATCGCAAAGCCTGGTGGTTCTGTCCACCTGGGAGCTGCTCCCTGTGTGGGTGGTGGGTGCTGGGGAAGGGCACAGAGCCCTTGAGGCCAGATCACAGAATCCACCGGGCTGGAAAAGACCTTTAATAGCAATCAAGTCCAACCGTTCCCAGCACTGCTAAGGCCACCACTGCCCCATGGCACTGAGGCCTCGTCTCCATGCTGTGTGAACCCTTGCAGGGACGGTGACTGCAGCCCTGCCCTGGGCAGCCTGTTCCAATGCCTGAGCACCCTCTGGGGCAGGGATTGTTCCTCAGCTCCATCTAAACCTGCCCTGGTGCAGCTTGAGGCCGGTTCCTCTTGTCCCATCCCTTGTTCCTTGGGAGCAGAGCCCAGCCCCTCCTGGCTCCATCCTCCTCTCAGGCAGCTGTAGGCAGCGATCAGGTCCCCTCCTGAGCCTTCTCTTCTCCAGACTGAACCCCCCAGGTCCCTCAGCCCTTCCCCATCACACTTGTGCTCCAGGCCCTGCACCAGCTCCATTGCCCTTCTCTGGCCCTGCTCCAGCACCTCAATGTCTCTCTTGTAGTGAGGGGCCCAGAGCTGAACACAGGACTTGAGGTGAGGCCTCACCAGTGCCCAGTGCAGGGGCACAATCCCTGCCTGGCCCTGCTGCCGCATTGGTGCTGGTACAGGCCAGGATGCTGGGGGCTTCTTGGCTGCATCCCCAGGTCTCTGCCACAAGCATTTTCCAGCCACTCTCTCGCTAAGCCTGGAACGCCGCAGGGGGTGGTTGTTGCCTGAATGCAGGTCCTTTGCCTTGTTGAATCTGGTACCATCGCAACAGCCCATCGGTCCAGCCTGTCTAGATCCCTCTGCAGATCAACTCTGCCAGCCAAATTTACAGCGGGTGCCCTCGATCCCCTCACTGACATCACCAGTGAAGCTATTAAACACCTCAGGAGGGGCAGCCGTGGCAGATTCACCGCCTCTGCTAAACGCTGCAGCCTCCACTGCCCCCTGAGGCGACCAACATGGCGCCGGCCCCTTCCCGCCGGCAAGGCGACGCGACGCGACGCGACGTTACCCTCGCGCCGGGTGACGCGACGGCGTGCTTGCGTCACACGCGCGGCGTCTCCGTGCCGGTGGAGCGGCGGCCGCAGCTGGAGGCGCGGGTGAGGGGGGAGGAGGCCCCGTGGGCCCCGGGCCGTGTTCACCGGCCTTGTCCGCGCTCCTCGCTCGGCGCTGTGGGGCTGCCGGGGAGCGAGCGGGTGGGTGGGTGGGCGGGCGCTGCGCCCGGGGTGACCGCGGTGACCGCCGTTGTGCCCCGGGTGACCGCCGTTGTGCCCCGGGTGACCGCCGTTGTGCCCGGGGTGACCGCCGTTGTGCCCCGGGTGACCGCCGTTGTGCCCGGGGTGACCGCCGTTGTGCCCCGGGTGACCGTCGTTGTGCCCCGGGTGACCGCCGTTGTGCCCCGGGGTGACCGCCGTTGTGCCCGCAGGTTTGCCCGTCCTTTCCCGAGCTGCGTGTGGTAACGGTAACGCGGATTCCATGTCTTTTCTTGTAAGTAAACCCGAACGGATTAGGGTGAGTGTTGAACCTCTTCCAGCTTCCCTCTGGCGCCGGCGTGTCGGGAGAGCCTTGCGCTTGTGCCGAGGTGCTGCGGCGGGGCTGCCCTCCTGGAAAGCACCTTAAGGCGGCGTTCAGATCTGCGGGGGGCTGGTTAAAACCCCAGTGCTGGAGGGTCTATGGCTTCCACGCGTGTATTTCCTCTGTATGCAGAGCGAGGGAGGGGGTTTAACGGGCGCTGTCATGAAGAGAAAGTGCGGTGGTGCTGGCTGCTTCCTGCTGTGCTTGAAGGAGTTACCACCTCGCTGTGTCCCCCACCGACAGCCCGTGGTTTTCACCCTAAACTTAACCCTTAACTATACACAGCAACTTCGTTTAACTGCGTTTTTAAGCGAGGAAGTTTCGTGTGAGGAAATGCCTTTAAATGGTGGTGTTAGGGACAGGGTTTGAGTCGTTGTCACCTAAAGACTTGGTGGTGCTTTCTAGGACTGGCTTCCCTTGCACTGAACAGCATAAGCTATGCTTCTTCAGTTATGTTACCAACTAGACAGCCTCTAACGTGGCAGTGTTTGCAATTGCTTATTTAATGCTACATGATCAGCACTCTGCAAGCCTAAAATTGTATCTTCTTTGGTGTGCTGTGTCTGTGGATATCTATTCCTCTTTGAATCACAGAGGTGAATAGAGATTCCTCCGCACGATCTAATGCTTGCAGCCAAATAAAGCATGAATTCTGGAGAAAAACACCACTAACATATTTCTCTTCTAATTTTGCATCCAGTCGATAGATATATAGCAAAAAAACCCCTCAGTTCTCTAAGACATCACCTCCTTGTAAATAGTTGAAGCATTTCTTACATCTGTTTAAACCAACCAGCTTCTATTTGGCTATACAAGCAAGTTGCAGCATGCTGCTTATTTTTGCTGTGTGTGCATGTATAAGGGTTCTTGTTTGAGCGTTACAAATGATGTTACCTGTTGTTGCAAGTGCATGTTGGTCAGGAAGAGCAGTAGTTGTTAGGTGCACGCCATTGCAGTGGCACGAGAAGAGAATATCCTTATCTAAAGTAAGGCTGGAACTCTGATGTTGCAGCTGGTTGGTTTGAGACCACAGTAGAATCCTTGAAGTGTTACGATTCTCTTTTGTTGGGGAGGTGGAAAAGAAACTTGTTTCTCTGTGGATTAACTGATGAACTGCTTTGGCTTCTTTCAGCGGTGGGTGTCTGAAAAGTTCATTGTTGAGGGCTTAAGAGAGTTCGAACTGTTTGGAGGTAAGTTTTCCTCTCATTAAATGACATTGTTAGAAGTGTTTTGACTGCAAGGTCTGTTAATTTCATTGTAAATATGTATCTTAACAGTAGAATAATGAATAACTCTCCTTGTAGCACCAGATCTGCTTATTCAAGCAGGGGAAGCACGTAAAGTTAATATGGAAGTGTCCAAGATCCAGCTTCTTGTGGGTGGCAGCACTGTTTTCAGACCCTGCATTCTGCCTTTCTTAGCATAACCAATACAACCTTTCCCTATGCAAAAGATAGATTCGGGGGTTGGGAAGGTTAATTATCATTTTCAGAGTAAAAACGGATTTTGAAACTGATGACACGGCAGGGGGTTGGAATTGGGTGATCTTAAGGTCCTTTCCAACCCTGACTGTTCTATGTTTCTATGACAACTCCCCAGTGTGCCCCTAGAAGAGCTGGTAGGCTCCTGTTCTGCTTTGTGCATAAGGAACCAAACTGCCCACTAGGCTGCAGAATGGGTGCCATGGAAGGAGGTCAGAGCATAGGAAGGGTGTCTCTATCTTGAGCTTCCAGGTGGAGTGGAAGAATTCTCACTACTTTAAATAAACTTTGGGTAGTTCTTCTGTATTTAAGCAAAGTAGATATGTAATTTTTGAATGTGTTTAGAGGTATGATAAAAAGATTGTCACATATATGTTGGGTATATGAACAGTAGCACTATGGGAATCCCTTTAATCTCCATACTTGTACTATAATTTGATTCTTAAAAGTCTTTTCCAACCTAGTTGATTCTATGATTCTATGGTTTTCAGTGCTGCAGCCTTATGTGTGAATTAAATGACTCTGTTCAACATTATCATCCCCCCCCCCCCCCCCCTTTGGTATCAACAAGTAGCATGCAGGGTTATTTACTCACTTTTCCCACTATATTTTGAATGGGTATCTGTTGAACACATAGTGAACAATTAATTTCTTTACTCCAGAGCAGCCTCTGGGTGACTCTCGGAGAAAAGTAAGTGACTTTTGCAGGCTGTGGTGCTGTGGTTCATTGCATGGAGATTATTCCTTGTGGAAGTTTGAGTTTCATTCTTTTCTTTTTCTCTTAGTTAAATATCTCATCTCTATATTTAGTTCTACAAGTGTGGAAACAGGTTTCACCCTGGAGTGGAGATTTTGGTGTGTGGTTTTCCAACTGTACATGACAGGTCAAAGCTTTTAATCTCTTGGATTTGTATTGGTGTCACCATTCCCCCTACCCTCACCCTCCTGAGGTTATTTAGATCTGATTCTTCAGAAAAGCATATCTCTCTGGTTTAGAGTAAAAGAAAGAGGTTAATTTATGGGACTTCTGTGTTGGAGTAAATCCAGAGGAAGCCACAGAGATGCTGCAAGGGCTGGAGCAGCTCTGCTCTGGAGCCAGGCTGAGAGAGCTGGGCTGGGTCAGCCTGGAGAAGAGAAGGCTCCTGAAGGGGAGACCTGAGAGCAGCTCCAGTGCCTGAAGGGGCTGCAGGAAACCTGGAGAGGGGCTTGGGACAAGGGCCTGTAGGGACAGGCCAAGGGGAATGGCTTTAACCTGCCCGAGGGGAGACTGAGCTGAGCTCTTAGGCAGAAGCTCTTCCCTGTGAGGGTGCTGAGGCGCTGGCACAGGGTGCCCAGAGAAGCTGTGGCTGCCCCATCCCTGGCAGTGTTCAAGGCCAGGTTGGACACAGGGGCTTGGAGCAAGCTGCTCCAGTGGAAGGGGTCCCTTCCAACCCAAACCATTGTATAGTTCCATGATTTTATGATCTGAAAACTAGGCCCAAGGAAGCTGGTTGGCCATTCAAACCCAGTGTTCCCTTCTGAACACACTGACCCTGATTTCCTTTCTGTTCCCTGTAGAGCAGCCACAACAGAGGCTCTGACATCAAAACCAAACATCATGCAAGTTTGAGGTGACTTTGCCTCCTGTTGTCTGCTTGTCTTCAGAGCCAGTTCCATGCACAGAGAGAGAGTTTTGCCTCTTAAAAACTAAAATCACCAGCAGACATGGAACGTTTGGTCAAAAAGGCAGGTGGAAACTTCACCTGGATGCTTTGTGTTCTGCAGGCCCTGATCACACACAGTCTAGTTCATAATGAGCAATGCTCATGGAATAACAACTTCTGATTGAACGGATTTGTCTAAATGATTTCCCACCTCCCCACCCTGTATTGAAGCACTTCGGTGTGCAGGTATTGCTCTAGTTTAAGCTAATTACAAACACAAATTAAGTAGGATTTGATTCTGTCAGTTCAAGCTGTTTATAATTGATCTTTGTGCCAGTGGCTGTCATTTGCTGGCACAAACAAAGCAGAAAATATGAGACGGATATGCAGCGTTTTGTGTAAAGTCAAGTAAATTCACACCTTGTATCAAATTGCTGAGCATTACACATATGCTGGGCTGGAAGCAAATTTTGATTAGCATCTGTTCTGCTTTAGTTCAGGTATTCACTTGGGGTTTGGACACTTTTGCAGTGGTATTGCTGACTCTCATTTGACTTTTACTCTAAATAAAAACTTATTTTCTCCATCAGGCCTAGAGAAAAAGGTAAAGCATTTGGGAAGACGGGTGGGAGAAAGAGTTTTATGCTGGAAGTGAGGGAATGAGGGGTACGGAGAGGAAGGCAGCAGAACAAAACCAACATTCCCTGTTCCTAACTCAGATGAAGGGCATTTGGCAAATGCAGATCCTTGCTAGCATCACCTAATTGATTGTCTTATGGCATTTAGAACAGGAGATGTCTTTCAAAGGTTAATTTCCTTCAATCTATCTCAAATTAAAATCAGATCAACAAGCTGGAAAGCCCTTAATGAAGGTCATGCCATAATGCTACTCATACGTGACTTCATTTTGCAGCTGCTTTTGCTTTTGACCATACACCAAAAGTTGTCCTGTGTGAAACCACTGAAGAGCTTTCTTGCAGTATTTCATAAATGACATTTCAGTTTAACTTGTTTTGTGTGTTTTTAAACTCTTGAATGATGTTGATAAATTGCTGGTAGAGCTCCTTTTGCATTAACTCTCAGTTCTTGGTCACTGCTAGCATGAAGAGAGGTGAGTGATGACCTCTGATGTACTGGAAGGTACTTTAAAAGGGAGTTTATGGTATTTTCCCATTACTGCTGAAATTGCACCATTAATAATATTAAATTTATTTTGCATCTGTTTTGTTGGCTTATGCTGTATCTAGAGTGGACTTTACTAAAGGAAGCCACTTACATACCGCTCCATGTTTCACCAGCTCCATAACACTGCTTAGCAGAGCCTCCTGCTTTCACTTCCTTGGTGGTGCCTTTCTGCTTCAGAGGTTTCCATCTGCCTGTGTGTCTCTCCTGGCAATCTTGCTGTTGACAGGAATTGCTGGAAGAAGTAATGAATGCTGCAATCGAGATCAGAATTGACAGGCTGCTTTAACACAAGTTTAAAATCTTGAATGGAAAGTTGCTGCTGCCTATTCTCAGCCAAGGAACAGCATTTGTGTAGCATTAGAGCTAGAATAAAGGATTTGGGCCTGCTGAGGTCTCTGGGGTTAACTACCCTGGAACAGGACTGAGTTGCTGCGCTGGAGTTGTGTGAGCTGAAGTGGCACAATAGCATTGTTCACAAATCCCTTAACTGAAAAAGACCCATTTTAAAGGTAGGCAGAAAGGGGTAAAATGTTGCTGTTCAAGGTCAGTTGAAAGGGTGGAACTTGGGAGGTGTGACTGTTACTTTACTCCCAAAGTATACCTGGGCAGTGTATGGCAAATTGATGTCTGTGCTCATCACACTCCATTTACCCTACCAAGTGTAGAACAGCAAGTTCCTTGTCTTTCAGCTGTGTTGTTTTCATCTTTCAGTGATGGAAAAAAAGAGCATTTGCTGTCACTGTGGGGAAATGCACAAGCCTTTTCTGCTTCATGTACCATGAGAAAAGGTCTGATAAAGGGCATCTGCAGTTGAAGAAGAATGAGGTGGAAAAAATGAGCTGGAGTTGCAAATGTCAGGAGAAGTTGATGTGCTGGAAATTGGAGAGAACTAAATCTGATTTTAGGCACTGAGTAAATTTGGATCTCCATTAGGATGCTCTTCCTGTGACTTTGGGAATTTGAGGGAGTTAGAAGTGATAATGGAACTTGCAAGAACATTGAGGTTTGTCCTCTGCAGAATCCTGCTTGGAAAGATTTATGTGCATATAAAGGAGGGAGCTTGATGTCAGCTGCAGTGAGGAAAGGTGACAGCTTGGAGGCTGCTTCCTCATGTGATGTGGGGTCTTCTCCTTTTGTTCTTTTCTCCTGTAAGCACTAATGCTTTGCAGTTAAGTTGGTTTTTCTTTGATTTGGTGCTTCTTTCTTCATCTGTGATCTTCATCTCTTGAGCTAAGTTGCTTCATCCCTTCTACTGTTCTACTCTTGCCACCGGTGAGCAGCTGGACAGTAGAAGCCTGTTCCTGCAGCCAGGGATCATCTGCCACGGTGCAGAGCAGTGCTGTAAACAAGCTTTCCTTTGGCCTTTGCTGAGGCAGCAGGAGGGTGGCACAGAAACTTGTAATTGATGGCAGACAGGTAGTTACTGTAAGCTGTCTTGGGGAATGATAATTGGCTTTATCCAAATGTTCCTAAAGAAATTGTATGGTGACCTGTTTTAAACACAGATGTCTGGATCTTCTGAAATGAGGCATCTCCTGGATTTCAGTGGATAAGTAACTGCTTACAGTGATTTGAACAGCTGTTACATTTCCTTCTGTGTTCAGTCCTGTCTTACTCTTTTGAGGTGTGTGGTAATCTAAGGAGCAGATGACTGTTGTGTGATCCTCGCTTCTCTTGACCTGACTTTGTTTCTTTCCCCAGACAAATGAGGCGAGCTCCGAGTCGATAGCTCCTTCCCCTAAAAGGGACACCATGAGCAACTTCCAGCCAGACAGCAGCTGTTACGAGTTGCTCACTATCATAGGTAATACTGCTACTAGTCATGGGCTGGAGGATCAGAACTCCTGAAACCTGTCCTTGTCCTTGGTGGAGCTGTAGCCTCACCATTTCATTGCACGTCAGATCTGAACTTGAAAGACAGGGTAATATTACAGGTTAGGACAATTTCCTCGCTGGGATACGTGCCAAGGAAGGTAGTATCTTTTGGAACGATTACTCCTTTTCACAAGGCAAAAAATAGTTTCAGTAAATGAGTGTAAAGATTATTTAAGGGTCAAGGACAGGAGGAGTTCCCCAGAAGTACTGCTGAAGCTTTAATGCCTTCTCTTTCAGGCAGAGGCTTTGAAGACTTGATGGTTGTGAACCTGGCCAAGTATAAACCCACAGGAGAGTATGTCACAGTCAGAAGAGTGAACTTGGAGGCCTGCACAAATGAAATGGTCACATTCTTGCAGGTAACATGAATCCACTAATACCATAATGCAAGTTTGGGAGAGGACAGTCAGCAAGAGCAGTGCTTGCCAATGCTGTGCATTTACTAAATGCAGTTAAAATATCTTTCTTTTAGGGGGAACTTCATGTTTCCAAGCTCTTCAACCACCCCAACATCGTGCCATACAAAGCAACTTTCATAGCTGACAATGAGCTGTGGGTGGTGACGTCTTTCATGGCCTATGGTAGGTGAAGAGGGACTACCTTTGTGCATCATACCCTTGGGGCTTTTTTCTGACCATTTAAGAGGCGTTTTGTTTCTTTTTAGGTTCTGCAAAAGATCTGATCTGTACCCATTTTATGGATGGGATGAGTGAACTGGCCATTGCATATATCCTCCAAGGCGTATTGAAAGCACTTGACTACATCCACCATATGGGCTATGTACATAGGTATTTAAAAATAGGGGGGATCCATTCTCCCTCTATTGGAAGTTCTCAGAAGCACTGCTCATTGTTAGAGCAGAGTGAATAGTTAAGAGATGTGGGGTGATGCATTACCAAGTCTGTGTTACTTTACTGTTGAAACAAGTCAGTGATACGGGAAATTACATCATTGATCTTACTAAACTGCATGAAAGTGTCACTGTAGAGCAAGCTTATCCCAAAGATAAGGTTGTTATATGATAAACTATCTAAAATCACCCTGCAGCTCATGTTGACAGGTTGACTTGTTAAGGCTCTGTTTGGGTACTGTTGATAGTCTCCAGACTGTCAGCGGTAGGAGGGATTTTCCCTGTTACTGTGGAAGGTCCTGGGTCTGTAACCCTTAGTCCTGCATTTCCCCCTTGCCACAGAAACGTTCTTTGGGGTCCTGCAGAGTGAGTGAATAGAGTCACGTTAATGGTTGTAGAAGTGGTTTTGAGCAGCATTCAGGGAGCCCAAGTACCATCCAGTGAAATAAGCTTTTTAGCCTTTCCCTAGGTGCTCACCTAGGTTGAGTTTCTGTTTAGTACTAGAACGATCTCTTTCTAAATCACTGTCTTGGCATAGTTCTCCTCTTATACATCCCTCTTCTGTACATTTCATATGCTGAAAGTTGTAGGTTATTACTGCTTACTACTTCTATTGTATGTACTGTAAAAGAAATCCAGCTTAGCTGTGCCTGTCTTACATCCTCTGCCGTGCCCTTCTGCACTAAGCCTTCCTCGAAAGGAAGGATGATATTCTTGTAAGGAACACCACTCCTGAAGCCAGAGGAGCTGACTGCTTTTACTCTTTTCCAGGAGTGTCAAAGCCAGCCATATCCTGATCTCTGTGGATGGGAAGGTTTACCTCTCCGGCCTGCGCAGTAATCTCAGTATGATCAACCATGGGCAGCGACTCAAAGTAGTTCATGACTTCCCCAAATACAGCATCAAAGTCCTGCCTTGGCTCAGCCCTGAAGTCTTGCAGCAGGTGTGTTTAAAATAAAATAGTATTTTTTAGTGGTACATAGTATTCCTGAATGATTCCTGAGTGCTTGTGGCATGTTTGGAGCAGGGGACATGACAAAAGCTCCTTTTTCTCATTATGAGCTCCCTGTTTTTACCTTAAAACCAGTGACCCCCAGCAAGGGGAAACCCATATTCCTGTCAAAAGGGGGCAGTTGCTGAGAAATCTGTGTGAGAACACTGTCTTTCCTTTCTCTCCAGAGGAAGGTGTGCAAATGCAAGGAAAAGGGAGGGGCTTCAGGAAACAGATTTAGGGTGGGCACAGGGCAAGTGGATAGAATTTTGTCTCATCGGTTTGACCAAAGAGTTTTCCTGTAGGTGCCTCTACAGATTATTCCCATTAGCTGTGGGAATCACATTATCCATGGGAATCACAGTGCAATCACATGTAAGTCACATGTAGATTGGATATAAGGAGGAAATTCTTTCCTGTGAGGGTGCTGAGGCACTGGAATGGGTTGCCCAGGGAAGCTGTGAATGCTCCATCCCTGGCAGTGTTCAAGGCCAGGTTGGACAGAGCCCCGGGTGCCATGGTTTAGTGTGAGGTGTCCCTGCCCATGGCAGGGGGGTTGGAACTGGATGATCTTAAGGTCCTTTCCAACCCTAACGATTCTATGGTTCTGTGATTCGAAGTCCACAAGGCTGAGTTTTCTTTTCATTTAGAATCTGCAGGGGTACGATGCAAAATCTGACATCTACAGCATAGGGATAACGGCCTGTGAGCTGGCAAACGGCCATGTACCATTCAAAGACATGCCTTCTACCCAGGTAAGGTTTAAAAGCTGTTCCTTTCTTATCCTTCTTCCTGGCACATGGAACTGCTTTGCTGCACTGGGATGTGAAGACACAAGGGTATTAGCTGAATGCGAAATCCTACTGCATGTGATGTTGCTTCTGTCCCATCTATTCTAGATGCTCTTGGAGAAGCTGAATGGAACTGTTCCCTGCTTGCTTGACACCACCACAATTCCTGCTGATGAGCTGACCATGAAGACCTCCCGTTCAAGTGCAAATTATGGGATGGGTGAGAATATGGCTGTCAGCAACGTGAGAGCAGCCAATGGGGAGCCAACCCTGCACCCTTATCTTCGGACCTTCTCCACCTGCTTCCATAACTTTGTGGAGCAGTGCCTCCAGCGGAATCCTGACTTCAGGTAAAGCAGTTTCACAGACCTGCACTATTCCAGGGCTGCTTAAACCATGAGAGCCAGCAGAGGTGGTTTGAGGTGGTTGGAGTGGCGTGAGGATGTGCTCCATACATCAGTATGTAGAGAGGAGCAGTCCTAGCCTGTAAAACAAGAGCAGTGTTAATACTTGGGGCACTTAAAGTGCTCATGATTCAAGATTCTGTAAGAGAACCTGAAGAACTGCTTTGCAGCCTTGGAGGGGTAGAGCGGTGCTACATGGCAGGAAAATAAACTGAACAACTTGAATTTCTGGTCCCTGGGAGGCTCTGTTTAGCCAGCTTCCATCACTGCCAATGTCTGCTGTTCAGCCAGCAGAGATGACAAGGGGAGGTGATCAACAGCTGTGTTTTCCTCTGTAATGAGTGTGAAGTTGTCCTCCTCCATGACAAACCTCCCCAGCACACCTCCCTGCTCAGAAACTTGACCAAAGGTTGGGGTGTGCACGTCAGTGACTTGTGCAGGTGCTGGCATAAAACATGCGAACACAAACAGTGCTGCTGGTTACAAAAGGGAAACCTCCTATAGCTGAGAAATGAGAGGCAGGAAGGACCCTGCTCTCTTCTCCCACTCCCTAACTTTAAACGCTGACACTTGTTACTTACTTGATCCTCACTGCCTTCCACAGGCCGAGCGCTGGCACTCTGCTGAACCACCCCTTTTTCAAGCAGGTAAGGAGCTCCTTTAATGGCAGATAAAGAACAGGGGCTTTTCTGTAGTTGTTTTGCTGTCACTGAACTGGATGGGGGGGGGGAAGTCGCTGAATTTCCTGTGATCTGACAGGATTCAGTTAGTTTGGTGTAAGTGTAGTGCAGTTTGATTCTCCTGGGAGGTGGATGGGCTGTTCCCAAAGTCCTTACCTGAACAGAGGATGGAAACCTGCCTGTCCTGTACACCAGAACAGTTTGGCACCCACAGGGCCAGGCCAGTCCTAACCCGGTCCTTAATGAGACCAAACTGAGGTGACCTGGGCCTTGCTTCTGCCTGTCCCCGTGTTGGTGCTAGGCCGTGTGGGGAGGCAGCTCAGCACCTCAGTTCTCTCTGTGCAGATCAAGCGCCGCGCTTCCGAAGCACTCCCTGAACTTCTGCGCCCCGTCACCCCAATCACCAACTTGGAAGGAACGAGGCCGCAGGATCCCAGTGGCATTTTTGGGCTGGTATCCAACCTGGAGCAGCTGGATGTGGATGACTGGGAGTTCTAGAGAAACAGGGACTGCGCCTGGCTCTGGAGGAGCTTTCTGGGCATTGTAGTTCATTGGCTGTGCTCATAAAAGGTGGTGAATGTTACGCATAGGAGAGTTTACAGGTCCTTGGGAAGGAACTGCAGCTGCCTGTTTACGTACAAACGCACAGACCCGACCTGGAAAGGATCAGCCCCAGGGAAGTGTGGAGTCCTCTGGATGGTGCTGTGCCCAGATCTACACTGGCAGATCACTCGAGTGGGTTGAGTGAGTCTGTGTAGTTATGGTCTTTATTTATATGTTACTGAAAATCACTGGCTTCCTCGTTCCCCAGTTGAAGGCTCCACGTCCCTCCCCTTTGGTTCTTCCTCCTTGAAGGGTGCCTTAGAGTGACAGGGAGGTGGCAGCTCTTGGTTTGGGGCATTCTCTTCAAGCTCCTCAGAGCTGTCACAGGTAAGTTTTGACAATGTGGGTTAAAAAGGGAGGATGACCTTAAATCTAGGTCCTGCTTTGAAATGAAAGAGACCCAATTTCATTCCATTCACAACCACTGCACTGGGTGTTCTCTGCAGCACTGGATTCTTTTCCAGCTCTGGAATGAGCTTTTGAGGCTCTTCTTACTTGATCCCAAGCCCTCTTGAGTACCAGATGGGGTATTCCAGCCTCTCCTCCCAGGGCTGCTTGGGTCACCAGCCCAAGCTTACCCCTTTCCAGTGAACCAGCTTTCTTAACCCCCAGCACATCCAGCTGAGCCTCCCCTTAGCTGGGCTGGTTTCACAGCACCAGCCACTCACACCAGCTTGGTCCCAGTGCCTGCCCCTGGCGCACAGGAAAACGAAGTTGATTTTCATGCATGACTCCTCTCTGAACATCATGTACAGAGTTCAGCCTCCCATTACCACTGCTGTGCTGCCCTCCCTGCCTGACCAACAGGGAAAAGCTTGGCTCCCCTTGACTCATGGCTGTGTGACTCTGCCCTGCTCCTGCAGCAGTGCTCCCCCTTCCTTGGGGTTGGTGTTTGGATGTGAAGTGAAGGCTTTGAGTTTGACCTTTCCAAGGACCGTGGGTGCTGGAGGTGGCGCAGTGGTGCTGGCCACAGGTCCTCATTGTGTGTCGAACCCGTACTTGAATGCAGATGAAGTTTGTTACTCTAGTTTTTTGCCAAAACAAATAAACTATTTCTGAAGTTGTTTTTTAAGTCTGCTGGCTCTGGAAGGTGATGGAGGGGATCACAAAGGATGGCGCAGGCTCTTCTCGTGTCCTTCATTTCATACAGCTCAACCCAGTGAGTTCCAGCTGCCTTCATGGTTCAGAACGGCTGGTGACTGAAGAGCTGTGTTGGCCACTGGAGTTCAAAGCCTCTCCTGAGTTCTCCTAGGAACCAAGAGGTGGGCATAAAAGATTGAAAGGAAAACACTGAGCTGCATAAATCATAGAATCCCAGCCTGGGTTGGGAGGGACCTTAAAGCTCATCCAGCTCCAACCCCTGCCATGGGCAGGGACCCCTTCCCCTAGAGCAGCTGGCTCCAAGCCCCTGTGTCCAACCTGGCCTTGAACACTGCCAGGGATGGGGCAGCCACAGCTTCTCTGGGCACCCTGTGCCAGCGCCTCAGCACCCTCACAGGGAAGAGCTTCTGCCTAAGAGCTCATCTCAGTCTGCCCTCTGGCAGGTTAAAGCCATTCCCCTTGGCCTGTCCCTACATCCCTTGTCCAAAGCCCCTCTCCAGGTTTCCTGCAGCCCCTTTAGGCACTGGAGCTGCTCTAAGGTCTCCCCTTCCAGAGCCTTCTCCAGGCAGAACCAGTGCCCAGCTCTCTCAGCCTGTCTTCAATCACAAAAACTGCACCCCACCACTCTCCCCTAGGTTTGCATTTTTAGGGTGAAGGATGAACAAGCTGCTGTTTCTCATCCCTTTCTATGCTTTCAGCTTGCTCCATGCTCAAAGATTATGGACTTCAGTTAAGTGGGAGTTTGATGCTTACACAGCAGCAGGAAGCAAGCAGGATCAGGGCAAAGTTAAGAGCGAGTCAGCAGTACCTGGGTCAGAAAGGGAAGTTAGGAAGTGACTGGAGGCTGCTTCATCACCTCCTGCCCCTAGGCAGACAGGCAGTGGTACTCAAACCCTGACCTTACCTGGTCCTTCTCATGCCTTCACAGATCAGCACAGTGGGGATGTGAGGACACTCTTTAAGTAGCTACCTGCTGCTTGATACACAAGCACTGGCTGCTGCTGGCCCCAAGGCAAGTGCTGTGAGCTGGTTTTTGTGTCCCATGAAAGCTTTATTAGGTAGATACAAAACAGGGGCCTCTGCTATTGAGGATCCTCGCCATGCTCTGAATGCTGCTGCTCTTCATCCTCCTCTTCCTCCTCTGCTTTGTGTTTTTCCAGTTTTGCCATGAGCTCTGGAAAACAGGAATGGGCAGGATGAGACTCGGGTGCAGGGCCTGTCCCAGCCCAGGGCTGGGAGCTCCAGGCCCAACACCAGAATGATCCACCAAGAGCTGGTGCTGCTCTGGCTGCTTCCCTGGAAGCTCCCACTCTCCCCCATGGGTGCCTGTTACCTTTGGCTGGGTTGAAGACTCCATTGGTTTGCTTGTCACACACGTAGCAGCGCTGGGATTTGCGGTAGTGCTGCAGGGCACAGCCCTCACAGAAGTAGTGCCTGCACCTGGGAGGAGACACAGGAGCCACTGCCAGTGAGCAGAGACAATCACTGTGCCCAGGAGTTAAGACACTGTTGACTCCACAGCCCAGGGAATGCAAAGGCAGCTGCGTGCAAAGCTCCCCCTGCAGCACTGTCCCCAGCAGCATGGGAGAGGGCTGGCAGTGCAGCCTGCTCCTCATCCTCACAAGCTCAGCCTCCCCATCCTTGTGTTCCTCTGCTCACACAATGCAGTGTGCCATTGTTGTGGCATGAGGAATGAAGGCAGGGAAACAAAAGCAGAAAGATGGAAGCATCTGGTGCCTGCATAACAAAGCCTGAGGTCCCTGCCAAGGAGATGCTCCAGTTGCAGACTTCCCGGATACCAGAGGATTTCCCCACGCACAGAAAGCCCTGGCAGACAAGCAGCAGGTCCCACCCACCAGCCTGTGACACTGTTTGTATTTGCCTCCATAGTGAACGACAAATGGACTGGCAGACACATTGCTCCTCGTGCCAAACCCACCACTTACTTGGTGACCACGGGGTTCTTGAAGGAACTTCTGCAGATGAAGCATTTGAAAGGCATATCCTCCTCGTCGCTGCTCACCTCATAGTTCTCCTCATCTGCAGAGGACAGGGTTAAGCAGACTGGAGCAAGAGCAGAGGCAGCCAGAGCAGCCCATGCATGGGGCATGAAATATTAACTCCAGAGAGTGCAGCAGGTGGGATTAAATCAGTGCTGGAAACAACAGAGCTCTGGCATCTGGCTGCTGCTGATGTCAGTAACACATGTGGGACTGAGATATAATTGGGTCTAATGAGCCGGGCTTGCTTGTTGCTCATCTCCCAGGAGCCAGTTCTTTCTCCCTCACCCACTCACTGCTATAAAGAGCAATATCCTCCAGCCCCCTCCTTCTGATCTTAGATTTTCTTCCAAAGCAGCTGTCACCAGCTGAGCAGAGAACACCCCTTCAGCCTTTCCCCCACCCCTGCACAGCAGGTGATGAGCCCTGGGCCACAGCTCTGGACACTGAGTGAATCACAGAATCAACCAGGTTGGAAAAGGGCCTTTAGGATCATCAAGTCAACCAGGGACACCTTCCACTGGAGCAGCTTGCTCCAAGCCCCTGTGTCCAACCTGGCCTTGAACACTGCCAGGGATGGGGCAGCCACAGCTTCTCTGGGCACCCTGTGCCAGCGCCTCAGCACCCTCACAGGGAAGAGCTTCTGCCTAAGATCTTAGTGATCCAGTATCCCCAAGGCATGGGAAAGGCAGGACCTGGGAACCACTTCCCCCATGAGCTCAGGGTGAGCAGGGAGGTGGTGCCTTACCATTGACTCCATAGCGACCCTCATCCAGCTCCCGCTCGATCTGCCATCCGTGCTTGTAGTCTGAGCGGTCGTGGAGGAACTTGCAGCTGTCTGAGGAGCACAAAGAAAGGGGAATGAGCAGCCAGGAAAGGGGAATGAGCAGCCAGGCTGTGCAGGGCAGTGTTACCTGGACACCTCCTGCAGGGGCAGCCTGAGCTCTGCCCAGCAGAAGGGGAAACCTGGTTGCTTCCTGCTGCCTGTGCTCTTGGAGCAGGTGCAGGATTGCTTTCAGGGTTGTGGAAGCGCCACAGGGACACTTCCAGCATTGACACGCATGGGAAGTGGTGGAAGGAACAGGAAATCCATTCCCTCATGTGGCCTCAGTGCCCAGAATTCCTGTGGGAATGTGGCACATCCCAGGGGTCCCCCCCAGGACTTGTATAACCCCTCATTAGAGGCCAGTGGCTCTCAGAAGGGCACAACCAGAACATCACATAAACTAACTGCAACAGCATCACCCATCAGCTCTGCAAACAGCTGCCTGTACATCAACAAGTCCACATCTTAGTGCCATGGATACAGAGCCCAAGCTGGAATGCATGCCTTTGCAGGCCCGGAGCAGCCCCTGCTCACCTCCAAAGCCACAGAAGCCAGTCTCTTTGTAGTCCTTGCAGATGTCGGGCTGATAGTCCCATCGCACCGTGGCCCTCAGGTGCTCTGGAGCTCGGATGGGTCCTTTTCTGAAAGGGTGGGAGAAGGCTCAGGCCGGCTCTGCAGCTGCAGTGGGGAAGGCCCCTGGGGGCCTGGGCAGAACCAGACACCAAGCTTGTTAGAGAGAAGCTGGCAGCAACAGTGAAGTTCAGGCCCCAGACAGGTGCTTTTGGGGATGGTGCCTGAGCTCCTCTGTGGTCCCAGTCCTGAGGCTCATCCCGACCTACCTGACCATTCCTGAAGAGGCATTTCCCATGGATGTGTCCTTGGGCTTCACATACTTCTGGTAGTTGTTAATGCCACGGTAAATTTTATCATCTTCCTTTCCTCTCAACTCCTAAGCAGGCAAAAAGAAAGGAGATTAAAGACCAGGAAAGCTTCATAACATGGATGAGCTTTCACCGCTCCGGCACCAGGTCTCCCTTCCTAGCCCTGCCATGCTTAATGCCACATTCTTTGCACTCTTGGCTCCTCATACTTCCAGAGAGGAAATGAGGGATGAGTAAAGCACAGACACTGCTGCTGTCAAGCACCAGCTCTTCACAGAGGAAGAGCTCTCCCACCTCCTGGATCTTCTGGCTGCGCTCGAAGATGGCCTGAGCATCCTTCTCCTTCTCCGTGTCCAGCTCATACACTGCTGTGGCTCCCATGTCCTCTGGGCCAACAGGTTTCTGCAAAGCAAGAGGAACTTGTGACAGGAGTGAAGAGAAAACCTGTGCAAGGCAGAGAGCTCTCTGGCTGCCTGCAGGGTTGGTCACAGCGCAAGGACTTGACGTGGCCTGCTTCACCTCCCACCAGGTTCTACAGTCCCTTAGAGAGAGAATCCCCCATGGGCTGGATCCAGCCTTGTGCTTGACGTGCTAATTCCCCACTGCTCCCAGGTTTTAGCCTGCAGAGGCAGGAAACACTTGTCCCTTATTCCTTCACCCTCAGCCAGAAGCTGAGCTCAGGTCTCCGATATCCAACACTTCCATCATGAGACCCCCCCACCTACACACAGGATGTTGTGGGACCTTTTAACCCAGCTGTGGGTGGCTTACACTCAGCTTTACTACAGGGATCTGGTTTAGATTCCTCTTTAATGGAGCAAACAGACACCTACCCCAGGTTTTATCTTCAGGAACAGAAGCATAGTTACAACCAGCCTCAAGTAAAACCAAATCTAACTGAGGTGCCAAAAGCTTTTGAAGGCCAAAAGCTGTTACCTCCTCTTTCCCTATGGGAAGGAGGGCTAAGAACACATTGCCCCCCTTGGCAGCAGTCAAAAGCACAAGGCTTGGTTCATATTCATCTCTACTGTGACAAGGAGACCTTGGTCTGACCCTGCAGCTTTCACTGGGGACATTCAGGCATTATTGACACTTTACACAGAGGGACAGAAAGAAACAGGTGTGAAGGGGAATGTGCACTGACACCTGCTTACATCCTGTGCAGGCTCATACTAATGGGCAACACTTCACTGGAGCAAGAGGAAAATGAAGAGGAAAACCCCGTGGGCACAGCACTGTGAGCTGTGCCCAGACCTACACAGCT